TTTTTTTATTAATAAACAATAATCATTAATAAACTCCGGGTCTCCGGGTCGATTTTAAAATTTCAATGTTACGTGAACCGAAAAATCGAAGTTGCATGGCCTAATAATACTTTTTTTGGTTAAAATGATACATTGTTTTAAGAAAGATATTTAAACAATTCTAATTTTTATCATTCTGATTCTTTAAAATCTATTTTTCAAGAATCTTTGGTAGTAATAATAAAAACGAATTTCTTCATTAATTCGGGGTTGACGACCCGGCAATCTTTAAACAAAGGAACTAATAGATTGGTGAATTGTTGATCTATTTTATTCACATAGATTATATAATCATACGATTAGATAAAACAAAATTAAAAAGAAGAAAAAAGAAATTACAATTAATTAGAATTAAAATTAAAAAATATCGTGAACTCCGTTGTGTTGTCACAAGAGCCTTAGATTTTGATCCTTATCTAAGAAGGTAAAATGTATTAATAGTTCGAAGGTTGACTTTAATATTGGTGCATAAAATTACCTACAAAAAAGACAGTGAGACCTAAAGAAAAGATATCATTTCCAAATTTCGCTGCTACCTTTCTTTAACTTGCTCTTAAAAATCTTGAAGTATGTTTATTAGCCACTTCAAAAAAATGCATTAAATACATTTGTGTTGAAATACAATATACTTACTTTTGACTATCGGTTGACTTTCCAGAGAAGAATCAAATACTATTCCAAGCTGAATGTAAATCCCATCAAGGATGAAATAGCAATGAATGGATTATCCGATTTTCAATCAAATTCTCATTACCTGTAATGCGGGAAACTTTATCACCATATTTCATGGTTCGATTTATTACGCGTATTAAGGTATCTCCGATCTTGACGATTAAACTAGATTGCACAGTATTATAAAAAATATTATGGCAGATTTCTCTTTGATAAGTTAATTCGTTGAGCCAACATTTGGACGCTCCTCTTTTCTGTACAGCTTTGAATACGAGAAATTCCTATAAACAATTTGGAAATGACGACAACATTTTGCGGTGTTGAAATTTCACTAATGGTTTTGGGAAATGAGCTAAAGTATTTTCAAATGGGTCTCATTAGAAATTACTGCACCAAGTCTTGCATTTATTACATTAAACATGTTTTGACAAGTGCACGAAAAGACCATTCGTTCTTTTCAAACTTCCAAAAAATGTAGTATGGACTTTTCACCGGATACTACTATTGTTTAGTTGGTGGTGACAGCTATTTCAAGGAGACGCGCCATGGTAGACCTTCTTTTTATAAACATGCTCTAAAATTCCAAAATTCCAAAATTGCAAAGCCATGTTGGGTTTATAAATTTTTGTTGTAAAAAAAAAGGGTGGACCTTTTTTAAGAAATTGTCAGATCGGGAATGAATATAAAAAAAAAAAAAAAAATTTTTGATATTTTTTTTGAAATTGAGAATTAGTGCAACAATTATTCGAACCCAAGGCATGCTACACGTTTCACACCATGCCAAGCGCTGTTACCACTATACCAATTCAACTTTGATGATAATTTACATAAAAATTAAATAATTTAAACTAGAATGTTGAGAGTCCATTGCGTAGGAGCAGCACACACGAATTTGAACTGCGCCGTCGTATTTTTTTTCTGCGTCACTATTCCAGATGATTGGTTAATTATAACGGATGGAGCAAAAATAAAATCTGACGCAATAATGAAAGTTTGATAACTGTTGACAAAAAATCACCGCCTCAATGGTGCTATGTCTTGACAACTATTATCAATCTTACGTTTCTTCCTAACGGGACGATATACATAATTTTCATAAGTCTCTGAATGCTTTAAACATGCGATTTGATATAATGTCATTCATGTTGAGATTATTTTATTCGCCTCATAAATAACCGGAAAATTTAAAAAGTTGGTTACAGTCCTCAACCTTCTCGATTTATCATAAATTTACCTTTTGAGTCGTCCTTTCGAAATAAATAGTTTTCATTTTGAGTTCTTGGAGTTCCTTTCGCCCTATTATAAGGTCAAAATTATTTTCATGTCAGCATAATTATCAATAATACTATTTAACGACTGGACTTTCTTCTCTTTATTTAATAAATGTTCTTGATTGTTTATTGATGTTTTTAGTTCATCCAGCCTTTTGCTACATATAATTTTCAGTGATCGTTGAAGTGATGGAGGTAGACAAGGAGAGGAAGTAACTGCGGTAAGTTGATACTGCCGCTACGTTTATCAACGACGAATCAAACTTTTGTTTGTCATTTTTGTTTCATATTTTTTTTTTTGTATTTAAAAAAAAAGAAAGCGAAGCGCACAGTTGATGTTTTATTTTCAAATAACACAAGTACACTGAATGCAATGAATGTATGTGATTGTTTTTATAATCAGAACATACGATCGAAAAGAAAATGGAAAATAAAATTTAAGGTTTGGGAATTTTGACGCAATGAACATAAAAAAAAAGAAAAAAAAGAAAATTGTTTGACAATTTTATATTGATTATAGAATGTTCCAAAAAAAATGATATAATCTAATAAAAAAAAATTATTTTATTCGTATTATTTGTAAATCTAATCGCATTTGACTCGCCGATTATCAATTTTCAATAACAGAAGCGCTCTATTTTTTGTTCGCGTGCCCATTCATCAAATAAAATTCAAATCCAACTCAAAGCCAGATTCCATGTTGGAAGCTTTGAGGATAATTGCAAAACGTTTTTGTATCACAACAGATCTGGTGCGCCTCTATGACTATTTCAAAACTGAAGTGATTAATTCATGGTTTAGAATTCCTTTTGTACAATTTAAACAAAACAATTTCAATCCTTTTGAATCAATTCTGTAGAATTTATATGAGTTTGCTTATTTCTTTATTTAAAATATTTCACAAGATAAAATATAGCATTCTTTCCCTTTCAAATTATATATACATATATATATTTTTGCGAAATGTGAAGCAATTCTTGGAAAACCTTTTTAACCCAAAGATTTAAAGATAAATAAATAAAAATCAGCAATATTTGGAGAATTATTATTATTTTTTTTATTTAAATTATATAGATTTTAATGCAACATGAATCACTCATTGATAACTCACAAGTTCATCTGCAGCCGGAGTAGTTAATATTGTTAATTTAGGTAATAATAAATATGGGATGGACCAAAGATATCAATGTTTTTTCATCTTTTTTTTATTATAAAAGAAACAGAAAATCCAAATTCTTAATACACCTTTTCTCCTCATACTCCTCCTCATACCTAAAACAATAAACAAATTTTCTATCTTTGCTAAAACATTTCGAGCGCGCTTTTCCCACATTTTCGTGCTTTTTTGAGGTATTTGTTGTATTAGTAGCGGTTTTCCATTCTGGTTACAAGCTCAACAATATACGTGAAATATTGATTGACCTACTGTTTCGATATATCCAGGATGTTCATTTCTATAAACAAGTATTACCCTCGGTGTTATAACGTATTTATAAGAAATTATCTCTACAGGTCGTTCCTTTAATACATTAACTCTTAAGATCTGACTCTCAACCGTCCTAAGCAAGAATTCCACACTCGTTCGATAAATTTTTAGATTTTGAATCGAACATTACTTTTTTTATCATTCTTATAAGCAGGCATTTGAGGGAAAAACAGTGATTCTTAATGTACATCTTTTCACGATCCAAAGGAGGTGTTGAGCTGGTAGCATCATTATATTTATTTATCTACTCTCGTAGTTTTTGACTGTATGGTCGTGTCCCACATCCCTTTAACCACTTTTCATTATTTTTGTGATACCAAAATTTTCGTTTATGTTTTGGCCTCGTGCATTCTTCTGAGAACAACTACAAAAATAAAAGAATGTTTTATGACGATTACAGAATACTATTTCTTCAAGAATAATGGTAACATTAATTCTATTTCTTTCTACACAAAGATCCTATCCCTATAACTATATCGGGCTATGCTAAATGTATGTGTTTCTCCTACAATATAGCGGCGATGTCAAACCGTTCCTTCATTGAGGGTACTCCTTCCGGAGGTCTCAAAATCGAAACCCATCGAAACCCGTCAAAACCCGTCGTCGAAACCCATCGAAACCCACCGAAATCGAAAGATTTCGAATTTACCAAAAGAGATTTAGTCGGCGATAATTAATTCTTCTAGTGTGACGAGAAATAAATGGATTCGTAGTAATCTCTTCAATCGCGATAGAGAATCAAAATGAGTCGTGGTAATTTTTTCTAATACGACGATGAATAAAACTGGGTCATTAACAATTTCTGTTGTTAATTTGTTTATTCTTTCCTAGCGACATATATAAATAATTATGGTAAAAATCAATTAATAGTACAATTTCTAGAATTTAAATTTCTAGTTTTTCTGGTTGGTCCAATTTCTATAATTCTACATGTACGAAAAGAATAACTGATAACGAAAAAGGTCATTCAAAGGTAAGTTCGCGTTTAAATCAAAATTTATTTTTTAATTATACAAAACAAAAGTTTTTTTATCAATAAAATGAATACCGAATCACAAAGACTAAACGTAACGTGAGGAATTGTGATTGTTATTTGTTCAAAAAATTTCTACGAAAAATCGTTTCTAATGATTTTTATTATATACTGTACAGTCCCCGGCGAAAAGAATGGCGGTGGAAGACCGCATCTATTTTAGGCTGCGGTTTCACCACTTTCCGGATTTAGGCATTTGTTTATGTGCCCAAATCGGACATTGGAACCTGAATTAAAAAGGTAAGTTAAAAAAATAAGGTTTGTTATTTGTTTTTATTTTGATTTCCTTTCCGAAACTATGCCAAGCTCTTTAAAAATACAAAGAAATTCTGTTAAGTCACTTTGGGACCAAAAAGTGCGTAATGCAAAGGAAATTTCTAATCGATTGTGCATTCCTTTGCGCACATGTGAACGATATGTCAGTTTACTAAATAAAACTGGCAAAATTTCTATTGGTCACTCTTCTGGCCGTCCAAGAAAATTGGCTTCAAATCAACGCTGCCATGTTGGAAAAATTCTGCAACATAATCATTTTACTACAGCAGGCGAACTTAAGGCAATATTGGAAGAAAAAGATACCAACCTTGATGTCAGTGAACGTACGATACGTCGTGAGCTCAACAATCTTGGATATGTTTCTTTTCTTCCAAGAAAGGTTCCTCTCTTGACCCAAAAAGCGAAGGATTTTCGTTTGTCTTGGGCACGTGATCATTCGCGATACAACTGGTCTGTATAACAAAGCGGATATGTTATACAGACGCGGTTGGGTCTTCCAACAAGATAATGACCCAAAACACACCTCACACGATGTTCAGGGGGACTTGAAAAAACATCTTCCAGGACGAGTTCTTTCTTGGCCTTCATACAGCCCAGACTTGAACCCTATTGAAAATG